TTTTTTGTATTTTAGGTAAGGGTCTACAGGGTATTCAGGGTTTTACTACTAGATCAGACTCGTAGTGATCCACCTGTTTACAGACTCCCAAGGGCTGGGGTAACAGGCACGAGCCACCATGCCCAGTCTCATTTGCCATCTCAGCACGCCCTGGGGGCAGGGGCAGCATGGCAGGCCTGGGCATTGAACCCCTGGCCCCTGCACCTGCTTGCAGGTGTTTTAATCTGCTGAGCTATTTGGCCGGCCCTCTAGCATGAACTGCTGCCCTCTGCCATGTGCCACTCAGCCTTGGAGCCAGATGAAGTATGGACTGAAACCCTCAATAACTGTGAGCTAAATAAACCTTTCCTTCCATAATTTTGACAAATACCTATTTGTTCCAGCAATGAGAGAAGAGTAACTGAGACAGAATTTGGTACTGAGAGTGGGGTCATTGCTGTGCTAAACCTGACCATGTAAATTACAAGCTTTTGGGAATGGCTTAAGGGAAGAGGTAGGAAAAGTTTGTAGATGTCGCTTACAAGGGAAGCACTGGAACAGCGTTGGCTGATCTATATGGTCAGAGCTCAGAAGGCCAGAAGGCTAGTAGAAAGCCTGCCTGTAAAGACCAGACTGGGGAAGTTTCTGTTGGGAAGGACTGCACTGTTTGCTGGACTCCAAATGATTTGTGTTATGGCTTGGCAGAAAGTCTATCTGACTTTTGCTCACACCCAGATACTTTGCCCGATACTGAGATTAAGCATGGTGGACTGATCAGTCTTTCAAAAGAAATTTCAAAGCAATGAGATATTGAGGTAGTATCATGGCGATTGCTGAGGGCTTTTAGTCAGACTTACATTGAGAATCAAGAGCAAAGAACCCAGCAGGATGATTTAAAATGTGAGTTTAGCCAGAAAGGAAGCTCTAATAAAGCTGTGGAAAGCAAAGATAGAGCTGAGAGGATCTCCATTGCTGGGCAGGAAGAAGAGAATGGAAAGGATGGCCTGCTGGGAAGGAGCAAGAGAATGTAGGTGGTAGGTTTCTACC